TCTCTCTCTCTCTCTCTCTCTCTCTCTCTCTCTCTCTCTCTCTCTCTCTCTCTCTCTCACTTTCCTCTTTCTTTCAGCTTCTATTAAGAACAAGAAACATTCTTTTTTTATGTCTGGTTCTTTCCCGGCAAACGAGAAAAATGGCGTGAAATCTCATGGAATTTCCGACGTTGAAGGACGCTTTTGCATTACCATTTTTTGGACGACGCACCTTAATCGCCGGTGCGACATTCCGGAGACTCATAATCCCACATCTTCCCAAGTCGTTCGCACATCCTTCCACACGAGTGCGGATCAATCCGCCCGAAGTGACGCAGGAACGATGCGTTCTTGTAAATCTGATCTTGAGTCGCGATGAAAGGCGACGTTAAATTGTGCGAAGCGCGTGTTACACGCCGTCTCGCGAAATTGCTTACGTAGGAGATTGAAACCACTACCAATTAATTTAATATTAATATCGCTCGCTTTTCGCAATGTTCGCTGTATATTCATGTCGAAGATATTAACAATGCGCAACGCGTCACGCAGATGCAGCCTCAAATTCCGATACCGTCACATATCGCTGCACATGTACAAGATAGTTGCATACTTTTAGAATGACGAGAACATGGTACACTCTTCTTGTATTTTCATCTATTCGCAAAGAGGGGTTTTAGTGAAGAGAAAATAGAAAATAAATAATTTTTTTTCTGCACCAATTCACTCGTTGCAATGTCGTATGCTCGACATTCGTAGAATTGTAATATTCTATTGTATTCTATTAAATTAATTTTGTTATAAGATAAGACTCTTACATTCCTGTCATTCTTAATGCTTCACTTTTATGGGGAAACGTACATCTTCGTTAGCCCTACATTCGTACATTTATATGAGTATGCACTCGCAATTATGATCCAGAGACGAATTGCTCTTCAGCAATTGCTTATCCTATTGTTACATATATCGCACTTCCAACGGAAAAAAAAAAGAAGAATTATTATGAGTATCACAAGTCGATTTTTCGCAAATCGTTTAAAAAGGGAAGGAAATGATTACCTTAAATTGTTTGTTATTGCCAAGTATATGCACAACGATAGTGCCACCATTTATATTGTTTCACATTTCGTACCACATATTGGTGCGTTGAGAATCCTACACGAGAACTCCTCAGATATGTTATCCTTGTTTAACATTCGGTGAACAAGGATAAAATGACATCTGAGTGGCACTCTGTGACCAGAATCTGAACACAATCCTGGAGATATTTATCTCCTCTTAAAAAAAAAAAAAAAAACACAAATGGCGATTTCGCAGCGCTTTCGCAGTTGTCACTTTCCTCGACTGAAAGTGCGATATTTCTCCATGTCGGTTCTCCTCGCGGGAGCTAATACTTTCAACTTACAGCCGTCGAACTCTCAAGGTATTTGCAGCGAGTTTACTGCGACTTCAAGGTACACACGTGACATCTGCGCGGGATCTCCGCCGATCTCGATGCAAAACCTCGTCAAATTAAACATCTTATAAAAAAACAATAAATATTCCTCGATATATCAGATATTTTTCAGACTGTTCAGGTTGCTTCAACTTTTTCATCTTTAAGAGGCAGAAATTTTGTTACTGAAGTCACTCTGACTTAAATTGTATTTTGCGATTTGTACCTCGACCGACGTCGTCCCGCCACATTATGCAATAGGCCATTTCCTCCTAACAATACGAAAGACTAACTAAAAGGGCAAAGAGTAAAACGCCGCGTCCTCCTTGTCGTTCTGCTATTTGTCTCGCACGTAGTCCTATTCTTCTGAAATATATCGAGACGTAATCTCAATGGACTGCTTGCTAACAATATTATTCGTATAAGTAGCATACTTGATTTGACAGACTAAAGAATACGAGGAAGCTATGTCGTATAAAATTTTAATGTTACTGATTTTAAAGTTCGATCGAAGAAATTTGTGAAGAGATAGTTACTTTATATTTAGTTACTTCCCAATTTATTCATTGCAATAAAAACAAATATATTTTTTATTTATAGTTTTCGGAATGTAATTATTGCAAATCAACTATAGACTTTTAATAAGAGTTTCAGTATTGAATTAAATTAATTAATAAAGTAAATAAGAATTAAAGAATAAATTTGAAACTGCGACATAACTCCTTCGTTAACTTCGCTCTTTCAATCGCCATGTATTTTTGTCCGCTTTAAGGAAGGGATCTCTAACGTCTCATCTAACGTCTAGAGAGATGTATACAGGCACTGTTCTTTCACAGAGTAAACTCCTATCCATCGAGAATCGCGATAACGCGATACTATGATTGACAGAACGAATATCCAGAGTACCATAATTTTGCTCGCAGATCGCAATACGAGTCACGTCACCGTGCGATCTTGCCTCTTAATCATTCATTTTATTTCAGAAACACGTCTCTTTCGACACGGGATAAATGTTTTCGAAGTTGCTCAGCAATATTTTTCAATCCATTATACGTATACAAAGTATATACATAACGGCCAAAGTTTGTGCTTCGTTTCAACAAAGTGTCATGTAAATATATTGAATAAATTATAAATCATATAAGATTTATGATCAAAGTTTTTGCAGGACATTCACGGTGACGTAAGCTCAGTGCAATTAAGCAGTTCCCTAAGATATCCGCGACATTATTACAGGGGTAGAGGATCAAGATGAAAAGAAAAGGATACATTGCAATTGCGAAATTTGCGCTCCGTTTAGTAAACTCCAATATATTTGGCCATTCAATTTTCTCTTAATGCAACTGTAATTTTAATTTCAGATCCAACTTTTGCGCAAAATTCTTAAGTCTTACATATTTTAATATTTAACTTACGCGCGCATCAAAACTCCATTTAATTAGGTCAAAATTTCACTAAAGAGTTTAATTTGAGAATTTAGATGAAGTCGAATTCAGATGAAAAGCTAAAGTACGATTTTTTTTTTCATTTCAGACAATGAACTGCAAACTAATATTAATTATCGTGATCGCGTAGCGAATTTATGACCACCCTGATATGTATCACCTAAAAAATCGAACAGTTTCGTGTACGAAGTATTCTATAACAAAGTCCTACACGTATTCTGCGAAACGTGTGTCGTCGACGTACGCGGCGGCGTAGGCTAATTTCGCGATCACGCGACGATTTCGCGAATGTGTGCAGGACTGATATGTGTGAAAGGATCACTCCAATCGATATATAGAGAATAAAAAGCGAGAACTAAGCTCTCGACCTGCCCCTGTAGCGTGTCGAGTATCTCCCCTTTCGATCCTCATATCAATTTTACGTTTGGAACGCGAAACAACATTTATCGTCGTCCTTAGAGATGTACAGTGTTTCGATCACAGAGAATATACGTGTATATATATATATATATTTTTTTTTTCCTCTTTCCTCGCGAGATTAATCAGGATTCCATCAGTTCCGCTGAGAGACCTGTGCAAGATAAACTAAAGAAGAATCAAGGTAAACGATCGGTTTTGGAGCTCATCCTTCGCAATAAAGAGACATATTGTATAAATTACAAGACGCGAATTTAATATAATGTAATAAAAATTGGATAATTTTATATAATAAAGATATCGTTTGCATTCACGTGAGTGATAAAAATTTTTTTTCTCCTGTTTACTTTCTTCTTCTCTTGTCACAAATTTTTCATCGTGACAATAAAATTTTGTAACTTTTTCTGATTTCCAAACAAAATTTCATAATTTTCCCTGACTTAAGTAATATTTAAAAATTTTTTGTATCTTCGTTTTGATTTAGAAATCGTTAAATATTTTGTTGAGAGATGAATTTACCATAGTAACTGTACATTACTATTAATGTTACTGATTGTTTGTATTTTTGATTATTAAGTTGGTAGTATTCCAAAAGTGTGTAAATGAGATGTACATATATTAAACTTCGTTAAAGCTAAACAGTTTAATTTTGAAAAATTTTGCAAAATTCCTTGACTTTTCTTTGATTTCATTAATTTTTTCAATTTCTCTGACAATTTCCAATTTTGTGGCCCTGCTTCTCTCTGTGAACAAAATTTTGCTGCTCGATGATCGTAATTTAATTATTAATATAATCTAATTATAATGCTGAAATAATTTTGTTAAAAATTTATTTGTAATTTATCGATCGTTAACACCCTGAATCCTCCCTGTCGTCATTTCGTTATCGAATTCGTCGTTCACGTGGGAAAGGGACGCGGAATGTTGAGCGACTCGAGAGTCGCGGGACGATTTCCGCACATGGAAATGCGGACGATGCGTCCTATAACGAAGTAGTAAAAGTGGCGGAGCAGCTGGACGAAAAGTAAGTATAGACACGAGAAGAAATATTTCGCGAAAGCGATCGCGGGGGGCGGTCGTCGTACCTGCCAACGACTTTGCCTAACATTCGAGCGACGATGCATCGCGACGCATCGACGCCCGCCTGGAAGATGCACGATCGAATGTCGAATAGTATGCACGACGCGTGTCTCCGTTATAAGCGAAACAACAATATAGCGATCAACAATGCAACGCAAGAATACCTGTTTCAGACACATACTCGCAAAGAAGCAAACAGATCATGAAATAATAAAAGTTATTTGTGTAATAAAAGTGTCTGCTGCATGACTCAAATCGCACGTCTCGCAATAAACCGGCGACTTTATACTTGATTGTTCTGCAATGTACAATCGATAAGCATTCTGCGTTATGGTTTTCCGCGTTTTATCGCAGTCGCGTGTCGCGCCTCCTTGGTACTTCGGAATATTTCGCGGATTACTTTGCGATGATCGATCTTTCGGAATTAATAACGCGGGTGATGTAGGCGAAATGGGTATTAAAAGGAAAAAATAGTTCAGAAAGATTTTAAAATAATGATCATTACGGTTTACAGTACGTATTCTTGGTAGTCTTAAATTATATCTTGACCTGAGAAAATTGGAGCTCCACTCGTGGTGTGAATATATAATCACGCATGCATTCACTCGTATCGGAGACACATAGTCGCGCATCCTCCCGAACTGTAATTACTCGGGAGTAATTATCGAAACTGTAATTATCGAAGGCTATCCTCGATTCATCGCGCGGAACACACTAGCGGACAGAGAAGCACAATGGACTTGTGCACGTACGTACGGAGAAACGGTTTGTCTCGAAACACCGAAGATATGTACACGAAAACGAAATCTTACCTCGCGCGTCGTCTCCCGTCTATCTCCGAAGTCCCGCAAGAAATTGGACAAATTGTAAAGTCGATCGAGAGGAGAACTCGTTCCTTCGAAACTAAATCGTCTAATCTCTGCTTTTCCTTCCGTTCTCTTTAATTTATCCCAATACGTGTCTTGATTCTGAACAAAAATTTGATTTTCTGATCCTCTTCCTTGAAAATAAAACATAGTTGGAAAAATAAATATCAATTGATTGGGAACAAGATTAAAATTTTTTTGCGATTTTGAAAAATAAATCCTCATCCTATTTCTTTTTGATATAAATAATCCTGCAGCTTAATTAATTGTATTCATTCTCGATCCTTCGTTCCACATTGTTGGGAGACGACGCACGCTTAAATCCTAGATAATTTATACAAATTGCGTGTAAATTAATAATCAAAGGGTTTACTCGAGGTAAGACGTATGTAAGTATTGTAGTAAGCTTAGATATACGATTATAATATGTTAGATTAGACTTCTTTTTTTTTCTTTTTTTTTTGGGAAAGACTAAAGTTAGGCAAAAGATGACATTTTTGTTTTTTTCTTTTTTCTTCATTAAAGTGTTCTTTTCTATGGATTCTTTCTCTCTTTCTCTCTCTCTCATACTCTTTTCTATTCATTATTCTTTCAGGCACGCCTCGCTCTTTCTCTTATTTTGTCTCGCTTTTCTCGCTTTTCTCTCTTTCTTTCTCATTTTCACTCGTATTTTTCATTCATCCTGTCGCTCCGACGACACACCTCATTCTCATCTCGCATTCGTTTCTCATTCGCGGACTAGCAATAAATTTTTGAACTTATATTAGCCGTTAGAACGCTCTCTTGGAAAACACAAGTTTCGCCTTATACTAATAATGGTAATGGTCTCTTCATCTTTCTTTCTGCATTCCTCTCTTTCTTTCTATCCTTGCCACAGCTAATGCTCTTTCGACCCGTTTCTATCCCCAACCGCCTTCTTCGCCTGCGATCTCGTCAACGACGATACTATACAACTAGAATAATAAATATTGCCGCAATATTATTTGCTACATTCGTCCCAAATAGTCAACAAGTCTGACTCCCGGAGTATCGCGGTTCTTGGTCTCCTCATTTACATCACACCGACCAAATTTCTTTTCAATGATTTCCATCGTGTGTACTTTATATGGAAATATGTAACTTTCGAGCGAACGATCGAGCATCAATTTTTAAGGAGACCAACTTATTTCTTATAGACACCTTATAACTGTCCCAACGCATTCGCGTGTAAAATTCTTTTGTAAAATTAAAACTTAGAAATGTAAAAGAATAAAAAGCTCAGCTCCAAAAAAAAAATGTCAATGTGTGCAATTACAAAAGAACATTAATTCTGATACAAATTTTGAAGCAAAATTACAAGGAAGTCTAAAAAAAAGTCTAAAAAATTAATTTCAATCATAATTTAACTTATTTTTTGTTTTTCTTTTTACAAATTTAATTTGGATAAACTCGAAAAATCTATTAAATACGTCTTAAAATCTTTTTGAGCATTGAACTCTCGATAATTATTAACAGCTCATTAACACAGCGTGTTGAAAGAACTTCGTGCAACCCTCCAAGTTTGAGCTCAAAACTGCCGCAATCTCCGAGGAGTCTAATTTCACCGGTATTCGCCTGATATCAGTCGCACGCGCGCGCGCAAACATGTTATCAGATGTATATAGTAGTAATAATATCTCTCTTTCCATTTCTATTCGTGTGTTAAGTATACATTAATATCCGTTCTCGATACCGCGCGCGGTGTTCTTCAATCGTCCCAGGTGGGGAAGCTATCCTGATCGATGAACAGGTTCTTGCCCGTCTTCGTTGACGCGGTTTGATCGATGCGGCGGCCGCTTCCCACCGCCCCCGTTTGCCTCTGTTGATGGCCGCCGATGCCGATATGCTGCTGCTGGTTCGGCGTGCCGCCGAAATTCGTACTGCCAAATACCGGCTGGCCAAACGCGTCCAGCTGTTGGCTCTCGTAAATGCTGTGGTCTGGCGAATACTGCTTCTGCTGTTGCCGCTGATGGTGCTCGGTCACGGTCAACTCGATGTTGCCGGCCGTACCGCCAACGACGACGTCATCAACGTTCTCCGACGCGTTCGCCTCTTCCAGACTACTATTCTTGATTCCGTACTGGAAGTACATGATGAAACCTGATGGCAGATACAAGAAGCAGTGTTTCGATTGATTGTGAGATTCACAGAAAGGAATTAGAAAAGTTAAAGAGTTATTGTTTCACTTCAAAAATCAGATAGAATCGGAAATAGGTATAATCTTTGTTCACATAGTTTGTATACAAAACTTTATGAATTTATACCGAGAATCATCCAAACTGTGAATCTGACCAAGGTGAGGATGCTGAGCTTGAAGATGAGATAAATGTTAACAGTAACGGCGATTGCGGGGACAAAAGGTAAGCCTGGAGTCATGAACATTACGCTGCTCCTGAAACAAAAAACGGAAATACAGGAAATTAACACTTATTAGATTATTAAACCATTTCACGATTGGGCACGTTTCAGTTGACAGATTTACGGGATTGCGATTTGCAAATAACCTACCTATTTTGCGGCTTTCTACTGATGACAAGAAGTATACCAATTATGGCAAAGAGAAATAAGAATAGTAATATCGTTGTAAATGTTCCCATGTTACCTGAAAGAAAAAAAAGCTAAAATATATCGATATTCAATAGATATATTTACAGTGATTCGTGAAATTAATCAAATAATTAAAACAATTTTGTAGAATTATTTAGATATGTATTATGTTTTAGAAATATTATTTAGAAATATATCCTTCTAATGTTATACGAGCTAAACATTCATTACATATTTTTTCTTCTCTTATTATGTCGAAATATGTTATGGAACATTTGATTAATTTTACAAATATTTATTAATGTATTAAAAACGGTACAAAGTTCTCACCCATTCCACAGACGATAATCAAATCAAAAATAAGGATCAAGACGTATAAGATCCCAACGAGCTTCATAACATAACGTCCTGACGCCTCTGTCGCAGGACCTCTGTCCACCCACGGGAATATAGCAGGACAAAGGTACTGTGCCGCCTACGAAATGTCACCATTCATTAGCTTCATAATAATCACAGTGTCGGAAGGTTTTATGTGAATGGAACCTGATGAAGTAAACACGTACACTTAAATATCAAAGGGGCAAACCTCGGTAATCTCCTTTGAGTTAAATAATTTTGTTTTTTTTAACTTCCATGTATCAAAATGTAAATTAATTCATTTCTGTAGTTTCAAAGTAAACATCGTCTATTATATCATATATTAACATGCATTTAGTAAATAATAAATTAAATTTAAGTCAAGAATGCATCTTCTTGAGTTAAATTAAATTGTCAACTCTGCATTGTTTTAGTCAAATTAATGACATATTGGGTAATAGTTACTTTCTAAATTTTTTTCTTGGAGTGAAATCTCACTTCAAAAGTGTTAAAGTATTGTCAAATTTTCACTCTTTTTTTGGAGAGAAATTCATTCGAAGATAAGAAATCTCCTTTTTTAAAGTGAATCTCACTCAAAAGTGTGAAATCTCACAAAAAAAAAAGAAATTTGCTCTTATTCAAGAATACAAATTTTTCACTTTTTTTCAATACTGGCAGTATTTTTTTTCAAGTGAGAGTTTACCCTAACAAATTTAGACAGTAATTGGGTATCATTTGACATAAATGTTATCATTATTATTATTATTTTATTATTGTATTATTTAACAATTTATATCTAGATATCGTGTATGTTATGTAAAATTCTAATACAAATTTTAATATAAAATAAAAGATATTTGTACAAGATAAATATAATAAACAATCGGATAGAAGTCTATTATTGTTGAGTATATTACAATCGGGATGGTGACCTTAATTATTTCACCAAGCCATCGTTTTTCGATTACTAATGTCTACCTGCAGTCGACGCTGCAGATAATTCAACGGTGGCCCTATGATTGGCGTGTTTCCGGGATACTGATGAGCGCTACCGCAACTCGAGGCAGCCGCAGCCGCATGCACGCTGCCGTAGAATTTATTCTCCGTTCTGTCGCTGACGAGATACTGATCGTCCTTACCCAATCCCACCTCGTCCTCCTCACCGCCGTACGTGTCATCCGAATCTGGTGACGAGCTGTTGCACCTCCTCACCCGCCGCACCTGGAACAATGCGACGCTAATTTCAAAATTGCGCAATCTCGCTTCGATCCATTCCTGCATTCCGCTACGCGATTGATCCAATTTTGTTCGTCGATGGAGAAGAAATTCAGTAAAAAGGAAAGAAAATTGAATTGCCCTTATCTTGAAAATTTTAATGGTAAAAGAGATAAATCTTAGTCTTGCCTGATACAAAAATTTTTTTAACTCCATTGAAAGATAAGGGAGAACATTTAGAAAGAAAGGAAGACAGAAAATCTTTTAAGAAATCCCTTGAGAACGACATTTAAGATGAATGTACTCTGGAAATTCCAAGAAAATGTCGAGGGCGTGCAAAGAACTGCCGAAACGGAGCTATACGAAAACGAAAAACAGAAAGAAGTATAGAAATCGAGGGGAGAAAATCTCGTTTTCTCGCTGAGACGAGAGGAGTTTCTTCAATTACATGACGATAGAGGTAGACTATATATTTTGTTGTTTTCTGAAACACAAACGCAAACACCTCACCGTGATACGTTGCCCATTATTGGTAGTCGTAAGCTCCGACTGGGACGTCTGTACCGAGTTCAATGCGGTTGTAAGCTGATCGGGCCTAAGCTCTTTGCCGTAAGTCACTTGGCCGTTCCCCTGCGTTTCCTTCGTGGGCGATCGACAAGGCGTCCGCAAGCTCTGCGGCAGCAACTCGATCAAATTTGTCGAATGCGGTTGATATCGCAATATCAGCACGCATGTGGACACCAGAGTGTACGCCAGTAGGGTACCTAAAGCATTAAATCGCGAACAAGAACATAAACGTGGTTCTTCCCAGCATTAATTATTCCATTATAATTCAATTCATGCGATAGTTGTAACATTCGACGAACGCAATATAGCAGAACTCTTGAAATTGAATTATAAACTATAGAAAAGATCGTACAAAGATAAAGAAAAATATGTAAATATATTTAAAAGTATATTATAAAAATTTAAAAGAACTATAAATTTATTCAAAAGTTAACTGTTCAAAAATTAATATGAGATTAATGTAATTAGCCAAGTATACACTGAAAAAAATTTCTGATTAAAAACGGACGATCAGAATTTTCTGGTTATTTATTAGAATTCCAGTTGAGATAATCAGAATAATTAGAGTAGAATAATTAGATTTAACAGAATAATTAGATCAATCAGAATTCTAGTTATCTCAACTAGAATTCTAATAGATTTAAAAAACAGAAAATTCTGATTCATTTATTTTTCACTAGAATTACTAATAATTTCAATTAAACCATTTTTCTCAGTGTTAATTATAAAAACAGATTGTAAATCTGATGCAAGAAATATAACTTATTTGAATTCAACCAACGAAAAGATCTAATCATACACGGAAAGAATAGTTTTGCTGAAATATTTAAAAATTTAACTAGAGAGATCTAAAAATAATTTTATTTAGACCATTAAAATAATTATGTACGCTATATATATATAATAATTAAGAACGCTTAAATTGTTTACTAGAATGTTACAACTTTTTGCAGTCTTGTCATCAACGTTTAAGTGTTCTACATAATTATTTTATTTCAACAAAATTATTTTCGAACCTATCTAAGTTAAATTTTCAGCAAAACCATTTTTTCCGTGTACAAATTTTATTCTATACAATTTAATTAGTTAATGGTTTTTCAAAACTCCTTACCAGTCAATAATCAATAAATATGACAAAAACGCTATATATTTATTTCATTCTAAATTAATTAACGGAATCGTTTTAAGTAACGATCTTACCGATCGACATCATTTCCACCAATACTTCCAGCTGGATCAACAGCGCAGCGAAAGCTGCACATATGCCGGAAGTTAAAGTCGCAATTGCAGGAGTGCCAGTCGCTGGCCAAACTTGGCTGAGGCTCCTGCGAAAGTGAAACGACCGCTTTACATTCAAATCTACGGTCTTAACTGTTCTTAATAATTCCTCTCATCGCAGTTTCCGATGTTATCCTGTGTCTTGATTATTACCGAAATATAAGGCCATCCTGAGCCATCGCGTAGACTATTCTAGGCATCGGAAACATACTGCCGAACATGGAGACCGTCAGGCCTGCCAGCGCACCGACTGCGACGATGTACTTGCACTTATAGGCTCCGACTTGGCCGAACATTTCCACCAACGCCGAATCCTGATCAACCTGATCATATGGAACTGAAACACGAGGTACTCGAATACATGTTAGGAACACTATAACGTACTTCTGTTCCGCGAGATACTACCATCCCATGTAAATTCGACTCTGCGAGTTTCCTCGGCAATCAATGTGTCAATAGGAACAATTTCGTATAAAGCATAATAATAATAATACATTTCATACAATAGCCAATGTCAAAGTTTCAACAACTCTCATTTGTCTTATGAATAAGTTTCGCAATAATTTTAGTTTCTATCGTTTCGCCAAACATTGTTATACAATACAGAATTGTAAGTAAAATCGATCCCAATATGAGATGGAAGCAACTCTCGATTCATTGATAATTGTCATCGATGATTGTCAAAAAGGTATGTAGGTTAAGTCTGAGATAATTAATGAATTAAAAGGAATAGTCCCAAATTTTAACTCTTTGCTTCTTGTACGTGTTCTAAATTTTGTTTCAAATTAAGAATATGATTATAAATTGATCTTTTTTTAAATGTGTGAAAATCATCAAATCAAATCAAATAAAAATGATTGTTGAAAATAATAAGTGTGAAATATAATTTTTAACTAACGTGTGGAAAATTTTATGACTTTTTATTTAAAAATCTAGATAAACTACATTTAGTAGAAAAGTATAATTTTAAAACATAAAATGTGATTTCGTAAGTTTGTATAAATTTGATTTTGATCTCACGTGATATTATACATCAATTATTATTATTTGTTTATTTACAAATATGATAATATAATATTGTTTATGTGTTTTATTAACAATTATTTTAAAAAATGTTTATCTATTAAAATTTAATTACAATTAATATTGAATTTTTTTTTAATGTCCCTCTTTCTTTTCTTCATGAGTTGATTACATTAACGTAGCTGTTAAAGCTGCTCTGCGTTCATTGTATCAATAGTTGTTTAAATTTCAGAAATAGATATAAAAACACAATGATAAAATCAAAAGAACAGGCATATCGCTCTGCTGTGCCTGTCGTGAAAGATGAATAAAAGCGTATTTCCAGTAATAAAGACCAACAAACGATCGATTACGATTATTTAATGGTCTACTCACCAATCAGTGTCAAGACCATGCTGCTAGTGACGTAAGCGACGAGAATTATGATCAACGACGAGACTATGGCGAGGGGAATACTCCTCTTCGGATTTGTCGCCTCCTCGCCGGTGGTGGCTATTATGTCGAAGCCAATGAAGGCGTAGAAACACGTCGCCGCGCCGGTGAAAACCTGACAGGAAGAGAGATTCGGTTTTTCAACGCGTCGGACTGCAGAATATATTGTCGCGACGGACACCGAAATGCGATAAAATGGAACGAAAATAAGATATCTGACGGAAATTCGAGATAGAAAATCGAGTTCAAACAGAGCTGTGGCTCTTTAGGTAAATGTCATAATGCTTTTATCGAACTGCAAAATTTACCATAGAATTCACTTCGTATTAAGGAATACGATACTCGTACCATTTGGCGTACCATTTGATTCAGTAACTATGCCGATTATAGGGATGCGTATAAAGTAAATTAATTGGAGATCGATAAAAATGGTTGATTGTCCAATATGAGTCACTTTGCAACTGTCATCGCAATCCCTGCCTTCAGTTGGATTTACTGAAAGTGTCATGGCCTTTGAATGCAATATTAAAGCATTTACATATTTCACTTCTGCTCGACGTGCTTATGAATTTTTGATAAACTCCGAGAAAGTAAGATTAGGATGTTGCTTAAATAATCGGCGTACAATTGGTCACACAGAAGAAATTACTTATTCATTCACGTTTTGGTTCAGTGCATTTACTTCAGAAAATAAATAAAAAGATCCGCAGAATATCGCGATCGCACACTACCACTAATGTTAAGGAATGCTAATGTTAAGGAATAGCCGAACTCTAACGGAATTTTAAAATCTATTTTACGTCTTTTTTTTATGTTCAGAAATTTTCTCTTTTAAATTTCATCAGTTTCAATTTTTTTCAATTTTTTACAGCAAAAAATTAGAAAAATTGCACAACTTAAGTAGACTAAATAATGTACCTTTAATTTATCTTATTTTATTTAGTTATTTTTTTAAATACACGATCAAATTGAATTTTACATATATAATTAAATTAAAAGTATCTATTTACATTTGAATAATATATAAGAATATTGTAGGATAGTGCTTGAGTTTTTAAGCACTGAAGCTCTTAAAAGAAATAAACAGAAAAATATCGATCTACGTATACGAGGTACATGTATGTTTAATATACTCAGATCATATTTTTCTATTTCTTTCTTTTATAAGCTTCAAAGTTATAAACTCGAGCACTTATAATACCCTTATATATTATGTACGTATGGGCAGATACTTTTAGTTTGATTTTTTTACTTGGAATCACTTATATTATGAAGAAAGAATCACTTATATCACTTATATAGTGAAGAATAACCTTCAAAAGGAAACTATATATGTATAATTCAACAACTTTTTTTGTTCTTTATATGTAGTTTTGTATCTTTTTACATTTGGCGTATTTTCTTTTATTTTAGGAAATAATTTTCACAAGTAAAGTGAAAAAAAAATAGACAAGTGCTTTTGTCAGTGATATAAATGATTCCAGCATCTCTTTAATTTTTAAATGGCTTTTTCATGGCATACCCAGCTATTTTTCTAATGCTTTCTAATGCTCCCATTCTTTTTTCATTACTTATAATTCTTTTATAAAAGACATAGGTACATTTGCTTGTACCTTAATGTCTAGTATTTCAATTAAGAAAAAATTTTTTTATAATATACAATCACATATTAATTGTATTTTCTTAATGAGGCATTTAAAAAAAAATTTTGATTATTCAAATATCGTTACTCTTTCCTTATAGATCGATTTAATTCTTTGAAAGGAAATAAAAAGATAAAATGAATAAGAGCGGGAAAAATACAAGGAGGAAGATCGTCAGATGAAAATGCTAAAATTTACATTTTCATAAGCATGGGAAATGGGGCAAGAAAAAATATGCGAAGGAGTTTCGAGTAAAATTGATATGAAATTTCGTGAACCAGCGAGAAGTGGGCGTTATATAATCGGTACACCCCCGGTTTTGTTATATCCTCTACATGTTCATTGCGCCCACGTGCGAACGTGTTATACAAAAGCGCAGTTAAATCGCGATTAAAGGTCGGCCCACCCGATTCATCGCAAATACATTGTTCAAATATAATACTTTAGCAATATAAAATCCTAGAGTTTCAGTCTCGAAATTCCATTAATCGAAAGCAAAGAAATTGCATCGCAATCGGGGCCGCGGCAACACGAACAATGTCAAACATTTGTCTCAAAAAGCATATTATCAGTACGCGAATTTCTTGCGGAAACAAAGAAATTAAAACGAAGGTGAACACAGACGAGACGTTACACACAGATTTTTTTTTCAAACTTTTGGAACATCGTCGTTGTTCTTTGACAGAACTTGTGTTTCAAAGTTAATTATCTGTGCTCAAAAATATTCTACTTCCAAGAAGGCATGGGGAAGGCATAGGAAAGAAGAACTGGAGTTTTTAAATTGTTCGCGGTAATACGTAAGATGCCGTGTAACTTTGCTGTAAAGGAATCCCGAGCAATGTCGAGTATTGAAAGATATATTGTAGATCTCCGTGTTGATGGAAATAAAGAAGCTACAAACAAAATTACGCTCACGCGATGTTCGTTCGAATTTCTGAAAACTATTATCTCTACTATTTCTACTTACTTGTCTCTTACTATTTCTGAAAACTATTGTCTAATCTCTGAAAACTACTCTGTGATTCGATACAGAGTCGTGTTTCGAATTAATTATTTGAGAAGAAAATGTTTCACTTTCATAAAGAATAAGGAATGAAATGATGATGAGATTTTATAAGACGATGTACGAACGCTAAAACGGAACATGGAAGGAGAACACGAGAAAAGGCTCCTAAGGAAAGTCGTGAATCTTTCAACGAGACAGCTGACTCTGTTGGTTCTTGCACACGTTACCTCTATATCCTTTATCGTACAGAGCTTGACTATCTCTAAATATTGCTTTACGCTGGAGAATAATTCGTTTCATCCACACGTTATAAAGAATAAAAAAAAGGTGGGAGAAAGTGCATTGAAAGATAAAAATTGTTGCAATTAGCATAATGTAACTATAATTTAGTCGATTTTCGGGATAACTATATATTTAAGCAGAAGAAATAATAACCTGCTCATTATTGAAAACTGCAACATAAATTTTAATAATAAAAATATCGTCAAAAGCGAGCTCATAAAACAGGATTTAATGTTAATTTTGTTAATAATAATAGTTATACATTTGTAGTTGGTTTAACCATACAAACATAATCAATTGTGCCATTCGCTAAATATTGGTCTTCATTCATATGATAATTATGCATGCATGTGCGTTTTGTATAATATTTGCTAATATTGCTATACATTGGCCATGTCATTTGGAGTCGCATTAATAATAATCACATACACTGCTTGAAAATCTTCAACATTCTCTTAACATATCTCTTTCGATTATTATTACCATATAAATAGCAAGTGAATTTAAGAAAATAATTATACTCACTATAATTGCGATTGCATTTATTAAATAAAAATGTTTATTTTATTTTGTTATTTATATCTTAATATAAATAATTTTTATTATATTAATGTTTGAAATTATTACAGTTTACAGTAGAATTTTTTCATGATTGAGAAGACATATGTAATTATTATTATTGGGAGTACAAGTTCGGTCCGTTTCCCTAAAGATAGCTCCAGCTATTGTGAATGGTTCATAGTAACAGCTGATTTTGGCGATTTCAGAGAGGTTAAACATGCTAATAATATTCAGTTTATATCGCTTTGAGTTTCATATAAAAACCTTCATTTTTACTGTGTTTGAAATGTCGAATTTTGTGTTAACCAAGCAGCATTTACTGGAGGTTTTGATTTTCTGCTTTAATTGAAAGAAAAGTGCGGCTAAAGCCCATCGAATGCTTGTCGAAGTTTATGGTGACACTGCTCCAACTGATAAATCATGTAGAGAATGGTTTCGACGTTTCCAAGAATGGAGATTTCAGCGTTGAAGACAAGCCTCGCTCCGGACAGCAAAAAAATTCGAAGACAAAGAATTAGAGGCATTACTCGAAGAAGATCAGAGTCAAATGCAAGAGGAGCTTGCAGAATCATTGGAGGTAACTCAACAAGCCGTTTCTGTACGATTGAGAGCTATGGGAATGATTCAAAAACAAGGAAATTGGGTGCCTTATGAACTGAAACCGAGAGATGTTGAAAGGCGATTTTTCACTTGCGAATAGCTGATTCAAAGACAACAGAGAAAAAGTTTTTTGCATCGGATTGTGACTGGAGATGAGAAGTGGATATTCTACGACAACCCCAAGAAGAAAAAATACTACGCTAAGCCCGGTTAATCTATGACCTCAACATCAACACCACAGCTGAACATTCGAAGATCATGCTCTGTATCTGGTGGGACCAAAAGGGTCTTGTTTACTATGAACTGCTGAAACCTGGCGATTCCATTACGGGCGATCGATATCGGCTACAATTGATTCGTTTGAGCCGTGCATTGTGAGAAAAACGGCCGAAATACGAGCAAAGACATGATAAAATTATTCTTCTTCATGGCAATGCTCGGCCTTATGTCGCTAAGTTGTAAAAAAATATTTGGAAATGCTCAAATGTGATGTTTTACCGCACCCGCCGTATTCTCTGGACATTGCTCCTTCTGATTATTGATTGTTCCGAAGGATGTAGCAAGTCACCGGTTCACTTCTTTCGCAGAAATCGAAAATTGGCTCCAAAATTGGATCGCCTCCAAAGACGAGTCATTTTTTCGAGATGGAATTCGAAAATTGTCTGAGAGATGGGAAAAAGTAATAGGCAGCGATAGACAATACTTTAATTGATCTGTTCATTCATTTTGTGTTGAAATAAATGCACAAAAAAACGGACTGAACTAATTTGTACTCCCAATACTAATATTATAGCAGAAACAATCACAAAAATGGAGGATCTAACCATAATTATTTTACCATGTAATTATAGTTACAAATATCAAACATTTTTCTTTTAGTGCGAAAAAACAAACAAAGCATGTTTTAATATTTCGAATATTATAAACGTTATGAATATCAAGATGTGTGTAATACAGAGATAAAAAAATTGTATCATCTTAATTTTATGCACACGGAAAAAATAATTTTGTTAAAATTTAGCT